ATGCCCAAAACGCGATGCAGCGTTGAAGGATGTAGAATCAGATCCCTTTCAACATGCGGCCCCTGTCCCATCGGCCCTCATCTTGAGGTGGTGTTTACATCAGCCCTGGACCGCAGAACAGACGCATCACTCGTCACCGCACGGATTCGTTCAGAGCCGCCGGATTTCGCTGGGCCCCTTTCGATGGGCAGCGCAGAGCGGTGCCCGTGCGGTGGGGATGCGTGGGCGGGGGGCGCAGCAAGGAGCGCTGCATGGAGCTGAGACTCAGGTGCAGCTCGTCGGGTTGAGGTAAGGAGTTGAGAAACGAGTAGAGATCGTAGCAGAAAGGAGTGGCGATGGAAAGTATGTTTCTTTGGGAGTCGTTTGGTGGGATGTTCCAAGATCCGGAAGAGAAGCTCCAGCCCGAAGCAGTAGGCACGCAGAATTGGATACGAGGCAAGCAGCAAATGGATGGGAAAGGTGCAGTGTTGCCGATCCCCCCTTTAGATGGCTACGGAGGCCTTCGCAAGTTTCGGGGAAATGGAACAGCTCAATGAAGCTGGATTCTTTTTTACTGAAGCTGGATGAGTAAGCCTAGCGTGTTTCGTTTTTTTGATGCCACCTCGGCCCGACGAGCATTTGGAGGGGTGTTTTGCTAATCCCGCTGTATTTCAACAGCCAAAGACAAGGAATCGCTGAGACCAGCGAAGCGTTCGCGGTCTAGCTGCGGAAATGACCAGACGGTGGCGATTGGCTGGGCCTGCGATTTGCGCGAAACACGAGTTCCATGCCCTTTCAGATTACGTGGGGATATGCGGCCCGACCGGAAAACACCATGGAAAGGATTTGGCAGATGGATTCCGTGGTTTTTCTGACGGATCTCTTTTACGGGTATGAATCACCAGTCCCGCTTACCCCTAGGCATTCTGTGGCCTGTGGTCGTCATGATAAGCCCGTCAGGTCTGGCTGGTGGTTTCAGATACAATGTTCAACCTTGTGGTCCCCCCCGGTCCGGATAGCCTTTCATTGCATGGAAAACCTTCACACCCGACTCAAAAAAATATGTGTCGACGGTTCTCTACGGTTCTCACTTACGTGACCCATAGAAGCTACTAGTAGCAAGGACGCTACTTGGGGCTCCTGGCCGTACTACTAGGAGCAAGAAGCTACTAGTAGCTCCTGGCACCGCTACTAAGAGCAAGGACTCTACTAGTCATAGTGTGACTTCGGTTGCCTCTTAGCTCAGCGCCGCTCGCCTGGTGTTGCCAAGCCCGGGCGGCTGCGGAATAGTGAGTTGGGTGGTTTTCGTTCCGCGGTGTGACCATGTAGTGTATGTGTTTTCCACTCAAGCAAGTGTTGCTGTTCCATCAAGAATCTGGTTGGCCCAGCTCTTGGGAAAACAGTTGCGAGAGGTTTCCTTTCCTGAAAGCTCATGTGAGGGAAAAGCATGGAACAGACCGTTTTCCGGCAGCCAGGTACATGCATGTCGTTTCGAAAGAAAGTAGCGATCCATAGCGATCCAGTTGTTTGCCACAAAAAAAACTCTTCAGGAGGAAGACAGGCTTATGCTGAGGCGCTTTGTTGACATAGACTAGTCGCGTTTGGGATCACATGTTCACAGTCGTTTGTGATACGCTCGGGTTCTCAACTGCTTTCCTTGCACAATTTGACCAAGCAATGCATCTGATGTGTCGAAAGCCTACCTGGAACTGTAAGAGATATTGACAACTCGACAATGACAGCTCTTCCACAACGGAAGATGACCACCGAATGATATAGTCGGTTAGGAGTTCTGTGACGCTTTGGTTTGCCCCAACGACGTCCCAGCCGTCCGTTTCTTCGAAAAGCTTTGCAGAGAGCCTGCACTAAACGGGTCAGGCGGAGGTTTTGCTCCATTCGTCTGCAGTGCAGCCACCAGCTGCTGGAGCCCTCCATTCTACACAGACCCCTATCTGTGTCTAAAGATTATAATACTACTAGCAATGGCCTCCAACCTACTAGCGATGGCCTCCAACCTATGATGTTCTGCAGCTGGGGCTACTAAATGCCCAGGTCCCAACAGCATGTGGAGCAAGATTGGGAGATGGTCGGGACCAGGTCTGGACAGCTTCTCAGAGCCTAAAACCCATCTACACCTTGCACACTTCGACAAACAACTCTGCATGATGTGTGGCTGTGTTTGGGTACTTTTAGACACATCCATAATATTGGATATTTTTCGTATAGGTGTGCTTCCAAACTGAAGGGACATCCGACCCCAACCTTTTCGTAGAAAAGACCATACGACTTTGCAACTTCCGCTGTTTGGTACAATACTTCCTATGTCAATGATATTGAACATGTTCTTCTTTACTTTAGTAAGTAGACTACCTACTTAATTCTAAGGAAGCTACTAGCAATAGGTAGCTACTACCTACTGGACCCAGGATTGCCCACGCTTCTTCAAGGAAGCTTCCCTGCTGCCTTTAGGGGGGAGCTTTCTCGGAAAAGCACTCGCACTAGATGTTTATAAAAAGAAGACTGCCCAAAGTCTTAGTTGTTCTCGCACAGCTAGTAGTACAAGTTGCCTAAACTATTTTTACACTATGTCAGATAATGAGTTGCATCAACTGTCACCTGTTCAAGATATGGATTCAAGTCTTCATTCTAGGTCTCCCAAACAAATTGCTACTCGCTAACATGAAATAACTACCTGTTGGTGAAGTAAAATAGTCTTCGCATGGGGCCATTGTCGGCTTTGAGATGTCCGTCTCGCAACGAAATGAAAGTGTACTGTGTGTGTGTCAGATTCCCGGACAGAGAAGCATTTTTCGAGCATCAAAAACGACACGAGGTGTTTCACGACATCCTTCCCTGACTCTACAGACGATGCCTACCATGGGCCATACGGGGTGAAAACCACGGCCTTACGCTATTGACCAGCGGTACCCGACCTTCGACGAATTGTCGTTTGTAACGTCAGGGCTCTTTGTGCCGCACTTTGCGAAGTGACTTGGACCGTCTCTCATCGGTCTCCAAACCAATCTCCCAATGTTGATCCCAGCTGAACCTGAATCCCAAACAAAAACAACGCGCCAATGTGCTCAGTTTTGCTGCGAAAAGGATGGTGACGCGACCGTGTTGGTCCTTCCCCATTGGTCCTGCAAGGTGAAACTCGGTAGGGTGTGGAATCCTTCTTTGATACGAGAAGAACACACATCATGTCAACAGTTTGTTCGGGATCAACGAAGTTTCCGATTGGACAACATGTGTTAGCTGATGTTATCAGGAGTCTGAAGGAAGGAGTGTGAACCTGGTTCAATATCTGTTGTATATTATACGACACTTGGCTTGGGTTGGCCCAATTTCAATCCTTCAGGCAACGGCTGCCATCCTCAAGCCTATCGGGGTTGAGTTCAAGAAAGATCGATCGGAAGGGCGGCCGCAAATGCTGTTCATGTGTTTGATCAAACTACCCTCACTTGCCACTGTAAGAATGCTTGTCGCTTGAACCCGCTTTTGACTGGTCGCACAAATCGTGCCATGCTTTGGGGAAGCGATTCAGATTCAAGTCAGTACCTCGCAACATTGTTTTGCTGTTCCTGTTTGTTGATGGCGGGTCACCATCCCAGCAGTGTAGGACATGATGCGCAGATGCCAGACAGTGGATGAGGTCAGTGTCGATCTGAAGCCATTGAAGAACAAGACGGAGTCTAAACAAGAGGAGAAAACCTCGGTCAAGAACTTAAATGACCTCAAAAGGGTCTAAATGATGAAAAGATTGCAAATCACAAAGTGTCACAAAGGGCTGAAAGTGTCAAAAGTTGACTTCACTTGATACTTCATGATACTTCTAACTCTTTCTGAGTTATCTCAGCTTCGTTGCCACTGTCGGAAGGCTTGCTGCCTGCCCTCGCGCCTCTTCGCGGGGCGACCGGCCCTCCTTCATCTGCGCATCGCCCCAGCACCACCCGCCCGAACCGCCCTCCCCCCCTGCTCCGTGGGATCTTCTGCCGAAGCGACGACTTCGAAAGTCCAGGCCATGGGGCCACGACGACGTCAAACGGCGAACGAGTTAAGTGGGAGATCCAAGGAGCTTTGCGTGAGGGGGGCCCGAGCATTTGAAGAGCTGTGGGCCAAGACAGTGTGCAAAAAGCCTGGTGTCACGACTGCGAACGGGTGCGAATTGGGGAGTGATTTGTATACGTTCTGTCAGATGCAGGTGTTGTCACGTGAGCACTGATTGGTTCTTCTAGTGTCGTTTCTTGATTGGGAAGACAGGCGCCTGACACTGAGAGTCCAAATTGGGTGATCTTTTGGTGTGGCCTATGGAATGCGTATGGAATGCTGCCCGCTAACCATGAACCGTTTCGGTTGCTGTAGGGAGTCTTAATCTTGGGGCGAGGTCAGCTGTGGAAGTATCTTCTAATAGAAATAAACTCGTTTGGGGGGCACACTGTTTCGACTCATTGCAACAGGATGTATGGCACGTTGGAGTTGAGAGTCTTCTTCAAATCCACATCGCTCAACCAGGTTGGGCCGTTTGATGCCTGGTGGGCTCGGCAATTTAGTCGCTAGGATTAGATTAGCCAAGTGGGAAATGCAAAGAAACTACGTACTGCAACTGCTAGGTTCAGGGGCCATTTTTCAGAGGCCATCTGTGGTGTGTCTTCACAAAAACCTCCCATGAATTCTTCTGAGCTGTTGCGAATTGTCGTGTGTGTGTGTGTGTGGAAAGTGTGGATGGAGCACTTGTGAAGATTCTGCCGTTGAAGGCAACAAATCACTGCCATCCTTTAGTGCGGTGGGACAAGCAGAGGTCCTTGGACTCTGGACACAACATCGAGAGGCCTTATTGGCGTTCGTGCGGCAACGTCAACTATGGCCCATCCAAAGCGATTATCAAACTCTAAAATAACAATGTTGGTTGCATTAGCTTGGGGAACCCCATTTTGCAACAGACAGTTTGAGTTAAAGTAATTTGTGGTAGGCTCCTCAAGGAACAGTTCTCTTGGCAGTTGATCCATGCATGTGTTCTTTCGAAGCCATTTGGAGCCTTTCACGGGCAAGTCGCCGAACTCCGTCGCCAAGTCGACAGATGGTCAGGAGACCCAACAGACCTCAGAAACGACGGTCATTGTGGTGTAATCAGGTGCTGGAGATTTTGCAGCATGCGAAGACGCAGTTGAACGAATCGTTTTCAGACATGACCGCTTTTTTGCAAGTCCCTTTTTGTGGAACTTGCTTGGGTTTCCCTGGCAGTTATCGGAAATGTACTCAAGGACGTGCTTTACATACATGCATCGCCCTGAGGTTTTTGGCCTCATCTGGGCACTGTTGCCCTTCATCGCAGGCGCACCCGAGAGACTGAGTGGGATCGGTCGTGTTTGGAGGATTGCCGACCAAACCCAGACCGGAGCGCGACCGTTTGGATCCCTGGTTGGAAGGGCGCGCTTGCGCGCCATCCCAGGGACTTGATACAGCGGGGGATCAACAACACCAGAAGAGATGGAACGAATAGCCATGTGACATGTCTCCTGTCTCTCCACCCGTTTTCTCTTTCTGAATGGAGTTTGCTCTCACGCCTGTGCGCGGATGAGCACTGCCTTTGTGGTCAAATGTGGAGGACCCGCATGGGATCATGAAACAGAACGTGGACTCTTTGCTGTTCCTTTGTTTTGCTTTTTTTGGGCGAGGAGGAGACAGCGTTTTGGAGTACCACGCTATCTGTGATGCGGGCAGCACCGGCACGCGACTCTATGTGTGCCTTGGTTGTGGGCCGGCAAGCGATCCAAACATGAGCAGACGCGGAAGTTCATGCTCAGCTGGAGGACCAAGACCCCAGGGGTGGGTAAAACCATTTGGGCAGGCAAAGCCTACTGTGTCAAGGGAAGGAACATGGTTTTGACTAGATAGGGTTCTATCTTGGATCATTGAGGTCTTACAATGATCCCAAAAAAACATTTGGAAGGTCAAAAGCTCCGGGCTTCAGAGCTACCATTCTGTGAGTTCGGAGAAACTTTCAATGACCTCGGAAGAGGTGGCTCAGGAGACTGCGGCCCCAAAGGGTTTGGGGCAGTTTTAGGGTGCACAAGGTTTTGTATTGAAGAAAGAGGTTCTCATCGTCCTTTCTTCAGAAACACACGTCCAATAGATGAGTCGGTAGACTTAGAGCATTTCACTTTTCAAAGCCCGCCACCGCCGCTCCTACTCAATCAAGTAAGCGCCTACTTGATTAAATAAGGGAGTAAGCTCCTAGCTACTTAAGCTTCTGGTAACTGGACGCAGGATAGCTCAGTACCTGAAACATCAGTGCTCCCAGGCAGGTAGTAGAAAAAGTGGTATTTGTGAGATCATCCGCAATAATCCAGTAGCAAAGGACCTTTGGATCATCCCTTGCCCGATATTACTGTTTTAGATGCGGATTTGCCGGCGAGAAGTCTCGTTGTCAAAAGAACATAGAAATTGTGTGAGCATCCAACACAGGAAGTGGGTTCTGACAGAACAAGTGTCCCCAGAGCCAATGTCCTTTGGACAATTCTTTGCATCGGTGTTTGTTTTGTGAGTTCAGCCGCGTGTAGCCTCGCCACTTGTCGTTCGCGCCTACCTTACCATGCAAGGTCAAGCATGAAGCATATCTCCATTTGTTTCGTGATTGTTTTTTGTTTGCATCACACCCTCCAGCAGAAACTATTCTTTTTAGTCCGCTCCCCCTGCCTACTTAATTAAGAAAGCGACTACCTGCAAGTAGCTACTGTAGCACACATCCACAGAGAAGTCCTCGACGTCCAAAACACTTAATTCCGCCACAGGTTTGCTTTGGATTTGAGTGCTGGGAAGGCCAGGACGGTTTGTCGAGGATGAAATCACCAAACGGCCAGCCAAGAAACCTTGCTAGTTTGGGTCAGACATGCTTGGTCAGCAGGATTCTAACTGGCGTGTCAAGGAATATTCCTGAAGCCATGTCCTTTAACAGCACTACTGCTAGGGAGTTCCAAACAGTTGTGCTTTGCAAACTCTTGTACTTTTGACCAGACACTTGTTCATGTGACCATTGCTTTAAAGGGTGTTCGGCTGTCCAAGCACACTATGTGTTTTCTTTTGAGGCGGAGTCCATCTTTGTGAAGAAGACCAAGCCTGGACTGTCCTCCTATGCTAGCAAGCCTCAAGACGCGGTGCGCAGGGCCTCGCAGGGCTGGTGACGCTTGGTGACCACGCGTCGGAGAAGAATGTGGGGAAGATATGTTTGGAACAGGTCAATACTGCGCATGAAGCAAATTGAATCAAGAAAACGAGGACAAGGTCGAAATATATTCTGATGATTCTTTTGGATGCCTCCCTCCACCTACTTGCAAGTGTCTTCATGTCATCCTGTCGAGAGAAGATGTCTAGTGCAACAGCATGTGGGCCCGCGTGGAATGTTTGGGTGGAAACAACAAAGCATGGATGTCGGAGCTTAAAGAGCTGTTCTTTGCAGGTCGCGCCCTTGCTGAAGCTGCTGCAAGAAGGACGGGCTGCGTAGGGGCTGCGGGGTGGACAGCGAGTCTGGGCGTTGTTCACGGCCCGACGAGTGACGGCGACGGTGAAAGTCGAAGAGTCGTTCTTTTGAAGGCAGGGAAACTTCTTGTAAGGATGGATGTTCGTTCAGATCAGCTGTGCAGAGGTTGATCCTTTTAGCCCGAAACACTTTTGCCAGATCTTGTCTTTAGAGGGTAGAAGAGGAGACACAAACCAAGAGACAAACCACAATATATCCATAGATTCGCAAGCTGCGGGAGATGCGCCCACGTTCGATAGAATTGATGGAGACCAACATCATTCTCCTTCTGAAAGGGGGGGCTGAAGACATTGTTTGGCACTACGAGCTGGGAGTGCAGACCTGACTTTTGTTCCAGAACTACTGAGATGCAGACACAGAACTCCAGGCCTAGGCATTTTGGTAGTCAGTTGATTTTCGTGATGGGTAGTCGACAACATCCTTGAACACGTGAACACCGAATATAACACGGTGTCATGGCGAAAGAGTGTGTTCATCAGTGGTCACTGCGTTTCTTTTGAGGTTTCCACACTCTGAGTCACTCTGTGCGGTAGTCGTAAAATGGTCTTCCGAAACTGGAGCCATGCCATTCACTTCCATGATTGTGACTTGTGCAGGTCATACGCCGATTCATTCCCAGGTCTGCCTCTCCAGGAGCCTCAAAGATCCCAGAGCGTGTGCGACGGAAGGTGCCACTGTTGATCTTCGGCACCGCGGGGATGAGGCACGGCACCGCTGGTGCAGGAATGCTGCCATGAATCGGTCAGTGCGCGATGCGGGGAGCGGAAACGGGATCTTAGCCATTGCATCAGGTAGTTGGAGTGAGGACAGCTTCGGCTTCTGGATTCCACCATTTAGTGGGAAATCGGTTTGCAGGTTCTTGATGTTCGTAAGTAGGATTTTTTCCTTTTTGCCTTTCTCTCATCATTTGAACAATGAGCATCTCTCTCCCGGCAGCCGGCTTTGGGGAGATCGACCAAAGAATGAGTGTGAACGGCACTTGTTCATTTCAGCCAGTGAATAGCTTTGCATTGCCAGCCACGACTTGTCGTTCTGCATCCCTGTCCACAACGCCAGGATGTTGCCATCTGCAACGCAGGCGCAGACGTGATTCGCACCAGCATGACATTGTGGCACTTGTTACTAATAGCTTCTTGTTACTACTAGTAACAGGTGCCACGCTAGTAGTAACAAGTGCCTTACTAGTAGTAACAAAAAGCTATTAGAAACAATAAGCTAATAGCTTCTTGTTACTACTAGTAAGGCACCTGTTACTACTAGCGTGGC